CAAAATTTTAAACAAAGGACATTTATTATCTTCTTGGTATTGGGGAAATTAGTATCATCAAACCTCAGTTTCTTCAATCTGAAAAGTGGAGGAGTACAGGTAGTTTCTCTGTGGGGAGGCTGTGAGGATAAAGTTGATAATGTATGTGAAGCCCCTGATGCTGAGAGGAACTGACACGAGATAGGTAGGGAGAGCCTATTATCTGCAGGAATTTATTGAACAACCATGCTGAAAGTGTCAAAACTTTTTCATTGGTTTGACTTTCTCTCCTTTTTGTCATCCTTTCCTATCTATTAGAGAGTTAATATTAGCAGTTGTCTCAATGTTTGCCCTCTATATCTCACCTCACAATCATGAACAAATACTGTCACACTGCTCCCTAGCAGACTGACACCCTGTATCTTTGAGGCTCATCTCAGAGCAGCGGCTGAGGCCTCTGGGCTTCTTGTGGTCTCCACCCTCTTCCAGGCTCCTGCTTGCTGTTTTCCTCACTGAAAAGTCCAACTCAAGTGCTCTCATGTCAAAATCATGATGGATGGTAGAGGTGGGGAGATGAATGTGTCTGTTGATGTGATAGGAAAGTTTGCCTTGTAGATATCTCCTGGAGCTGTCACCAGGTGGCTGAGTGGAATTGTCATAGTTTCCCTGATGCCTGAGATTAGGAGTGGTAGCAAAGTCATGGAGTGTAGGAAGAATGAAAGTTTTCAAACTGTAGGAACAACCCATTAGTGGACTATGAGATCACTTATTGAGGGGTCATGAGTGAATTGCAGGTTAGCACTAAAATCTAAAAAAAAAAAAAAGAGAGAGAGAGAGAATATGAAACACCCCTGAATATACCACACATAATAAGAACAAGAATTGTTAGCAATTCTTAGTTTCTGTTGTACACATATCTATGTGTATTGTGTCATGGCGTAGCATAACTCACACTGTGAGTCATGGCAAAAAAAAAAAAAATTCAAAAGCTTAAAATAATAGAATGCTTAAAAGTTTGGGTACTACAGTCAAATTTCTTGGGGTTGAATCCTTACCACAATACTTACTTGGTGAGCCTAACAATTGGTCTTATTCTCTGTGCTTCAGTTTCTTCATATGTAAAATAGATTCAGAACGGTACACCCTAAAGGAGTGGTTATAAAAAGTAAATGAATGAATACCCACAATGCATTCATTGTGAATAGTTCTAGGCACACACTAAGCTCAATAGACATTGCTATTATGTTATTATTATTACTATTGATAATAATAATCTAATACTATTGAATTAGCAGTAGCAGCATCTTTGTGCAGTGATGTGAAGTACATAATACAGTGCCCAAAACATATGAAGCTGAGTGGTTGCTTCTTGTTGTGGAGACTTTTGGTGCTTCCATGGCCCAATTGCATCTGATTTCTTCTCTTCTCTTTTCTTTTTCTTTCTTTGTGTGTATGTGTGGGGGGGGTGTTTTTGGCATTGGTAGTAACTGGGGCTTGAACTCAGGCCTTGCACTTGCCAGGCAGGTGCTCCACAACTTGAGTCACACCACCAGTCCTTTTTGCTTTAGTTGTTCTTCAAATAGAGTTTCTCCCAGACAGGCATGGATCATGATTCTCCTATTTTAGCTGGGATGACAGGTGCGCACCACCATGCCCAGTTTTTATTGGTTAAAATGAGGTCTTAATAATTCTCCACATACAAATGGTTTCGAATCTTGAAACTCTCCATCTTTCCCTCCCAAGTAGCTAGGATTACAGGTGTGAGCCACCATACCTGGCCTCTATTCACCTCTGCTTTCTAGCATACAGAATAAGGACACTTTCCCATCCCGTCAAACATAGGCAGGGCAAAACAGCTAGGTCTGGTCAATAAATGACAGATGGAAGTGATATGTAATGCTTCCAGGATTGAAGACCCTCCTTCAATTATTTTGTTCTCCTGGGACAAACCCTGAAGTCTTGGGTTGGAGCCCCAATGGTACAATGAAGTAGAGCCTCTATACCCTGGGTCTGCATGTCTGTGTGAAGCTGAGTCTCCTGCCAGACTCACATCCACCAGCCTGGGCTGGATGAGCAGCATGTAACCTTGGCTTGTTAGTTAATAGTTGTTTTATTGAGGTATATAATTCACATACTATACAACTCACCTTTTTAAAGTATATAGTTCAATGGTTTTTTGTACCAGATTCCATAGCACCATGAATGCTAGGCTAAGGAATTCAAGTTTTACCCTGTGGGGTTTGAACAGATAATTAATTGCAAAAAAAGTGTGTAATAAAGAAATAATCTGACAAAAAAGCATTCCCCATTTCCTTTGGCTTCTTCGTAAGTTTTTCCAAATGTAGTATGTTGTTTTTTCATGTTTATCCTCACATCCTAGTTACATGATTCTGTTTTCAACTCTCATCTTGGCATTATTTCATATATACCTTTCTCTATGTCCCTATGGTCTTCATTTTAAATGACTACACCTTATCTCTTGCTGTTGTTGAACATTTACAGTTTGACTTTATGTGCATAGAATTGGTTTTCATATACATGTACATAAACGTGTACAGGGGTAGGACTAATGGGGGTGCAAGTGAAATGCCTAGGGTGTAAATTTGAGGCACTATCCACCTGCTGGCATGAAAATTGGCACCTATATACTGCACTTGTCTCAGCCCTTGCTAGGCAGGTGCTCTACCGCTTGAGCCATGCCCCTAGCCCTTTTTTGCTTTAGTTATTTCTCAAACAGTGCCTCCTGTTTTTGTCTAGGGCAGGCCTAGACAATGATCCTCCCACCTACACCTCTCCTGTGGCTGGGGTTGCAGCTGTGTACCACCACATCCAACTTATTTGTTGAGATAAGGTCTGAAACCACCATCCTCAAGATTTCCACCTCCAGAGCAACTGAGTTTACAGGCGTGAGCCATTTTTTTACCAAAGTTTTGACCTGCACACAATGGCATTTTACAAAGATTACAGAAGCAACAGAGGCTGTTAGGGAACTAATGCAACTGTGTATCCCAACTTTAATACTATTATTGCTATTGAAATTCCCCACACTTGACTCCATATTTGCATAACTCAGACAAAATAACATTCCAGTCTTAGTCAACCTTTATACTTTTTTTTTTCCAGTACTGGGGATTGAACCCAGGGCCTTGCAAGTACTCTTCCATTTGAGCCACACCTCCAGCCCTTTTTGTTTTCATTTTGATTTTGAGATAGGGACTTGCTAAATTTGCCTAGCCTGGCCTAGAACTAGTGATCCTCCTGCCTCTACCTCCTGAGGACGCGAAATTATAGGCATGTGCCACCACGCCCAGCTTTATGCTATTATTATTATCAAAACAACAAAACCTCTGAAATTGGGTCTAGTTCACCAACTGATGACCCTTCTGTACATACTACATGGTCACTAAAGATGCATTTTTTTTTTGAGGCAATGTCTTGCTACATAGCCCAGGCTGGCTTCAAACTCTCAATCCTCTTGCCTCAGTCTTCCAAGTGCTGGGTTAAGAGGTCTGGGCCACTACCGCCATAGGTGTTTTGTTTTTACACATTAGCCCTTTGGGCTTGGACCAAGCAGATTGTTGGTAGAGCAACCTCCACATCAGGTGTGATCTCAGAGATGAAGAATGGTCAGATATCTGTGTTTTACACAAACCAAGTTCCCAGGTGTAGCTTCAAATTCAAATTCTATTATTTAGGGACAAATAGCATCAGAATTTCCTCCACTGACAACAGTTTTTACAAAAGTCAAAGGAAAAATGTCTGGACTAGTGTGTTCTATGTAAATTTTCCCTTGGCGGGGGATACTTTTAAGAAGGCACCAAATGGAAAATCACCAGAATGAAGTTAAGAGAGGTCTGCTTCCTGACAGATGCAGTTCCCAATCTTGCATAACTCCCAATCTTGCATGATTAGAGGAAAGAGTGGAAGGTAATAGAGCACCAAGTGTAGTTTGGTTAAGGTGAAGCATCATGGAGAGAGTCTATCGGAAGGATAACCAAAACTGTCTTCACGGTTCTTGGAGCAACTTTACTTTGGTTATCTTAGGGATGTTTTACTACCTGCCAAATAGAACTGGTCAATTTACTACTACTTAGCACCACCTGAGTTGGAATACATGCAGCTACCAATTTGAGTTGGAATATTGAAGCTACAATATTGACATTGACTTTTGTTCTGTGGGTTTCTGCCTATTCTCTTTTCTTCATCTAGAGAGTTTGGCTCAGTAACTATACTGGAACTTGCCACTTCAATGTCTCACTTTCCAAAGACAGATGGAATCAGTCTTACAGGTTTTGAACACAGAGTCTTACTTTCCAAAATCATCTGTGTATTCTGGATCAAGTCTATCAGGGCTTCCTAACCTCAAAAGTCACTGGTTTTTGTGATAAGACTTGCTGTATCCAGACACCAATGGCACCTCAAGTAAGTGTAAATATCTCTTTAGGAAGCTACCAACAGGCTGGGCAATTCCGAATTTGGGGAAGGCGTTCTGTAAAACAACTGCAAATCTTTTCTCTGATTTAAAAAACAAACAAAACCCCCCAAAAACTTCTTTGAAGGCTAGGGACCATGGCCTACGCCTATCATCCTAGGTACTTGAGAGGCAGCGATCAAGTGGATTACGGTTGGAGAACGTGCACTTTACACCTCTAGCCAAGGTTCACTCACATGCAGGGTAGGAGGTTTGACAAGTACTGAAAGGCATCCTATCGGGATCGAACAATAAAGAAACGCATTCCTCTGGGCTCTTACATGAAGCCAAGCTTCTTTCAGGATATTTATTTCTGACTTTTGTTAGGGCGTGCGGGTCTTCTCGCGCAGGCCGCTCTTCTGCCACGTGGGGCTTGCGTAGTAAACTTCTGCAGTGGCACGGGGCAGAATCCCGTGCCTCCGGGACCTAGCGGGAGAAGCATCCCCACCGACCCCCGGAAGGCGGCGCCGACCAATCAGAAGGCGCGTTCTCGCAGCCGCGCACCAATCGCGGGCGCCCTTTCTGCAGGCCCTCGGAGCTATTTAAAGGTGCGCGCCAGCGCCACCGCAGCAGGGCTGTGGGTCAGGGTCTGGGTGGCGTGGGAGTCATGGCCAGCCACCTCGAGCTCAACAACGGTGTCAAGATGCCCATCCTCGGGCTGGGCACCTGGAAGGTAGGTGCCCTGAGGGGCGCGGTCCCCGCCGCTCACTTCGGACTCTTCGCGGCCTGGGCGCGGCACGACCCCGGAGTGACCCTGAGCGCCTGGGGATGCCAGGCCTACAGTAGCCGCTCCGGGCCGGGCCGGCGGGCTCGGGCTCGGGCGGCCTTCGGGGCCCGGGACCCGGACGTGGGGCGGCGCAGCAAGGCGGGCCGGGCCGCTGTCTGGGTTTTGGTTGGGGGCGGGGTGCTGCAGGTCGGAGGCCGCCGCGGGCGACGTTGGGAATCCGAGGAGCCGCCCGGGGTGTAAGTCCGCGAACGCGGACCTTCGCCGCTCGCCGCCGGGTGGACAGCGCGAGCCGACCCCGAGAGGACGGAGAGCGAAATGCCCAGCGCGGCCCCATCCTCGCTCCTCCGACACCCGTGGTGCCAGAGCCTCGGGTGCGAACGTCCCGGCTCGGTTCTGCGGCGCCCTCTCGGGAACCAATCCCGCTCGCAACTAAATTAGGTGGTGCGCATCCGCACGACCCGTCTGCGTCCGGTTCCCCGAGGCACGCTTCGAGACTCGTTGAGAATCTGGTGCAGCCTTCCCGCGGGGAGCCAGCGTCCCCCGCGCGCTCCCCCTCCCCCAAATCTCAACGCCCATGAGTTAAGATAATACAGCATGCAAAAAAAACAAGTGATAGCCCGATTGTCTGAAAAACCCGGGAACACAGAAAGGTGGTATTGTGAAGGCTGCGGCAAAACCAGTGTTTTTAAGCCATTTGTAGGTTAACTTCAGGGTATTGTATATCATCCCATGCCTGGGACCTGGGTTTTTTCTTTACAGCGACCTTGAATGTAGGCCTGTACGTTAATTAATTACGCACAGTCAAGGAAAGAAAAAAAAAAACTCAAGGATTGAGTGCAGGTTGTTTGAAATAGGACAACAGGTAGTTCTTTCTACCCTAAAACTTGGAGTTGAAATTTAGAATAAGGAGAATAAGAAAAGGGTCAGAGATTTGCCTCTCTGAGAAAGTTTTTTTGGCCAAAAGTATGCAATTTGTGTTTCCTCCCGTTGGTCCAGTGGTGACCAAGGGTGCAATTGAAATACGCCAAATTAAATTCCATCTGTTAGGTTAAAGTGAAAGATGCTTTCTGGCTATAAGGAGAACAGCTGTATGTGATCCAGCACGTAGACATACGCATGTAACCTGCACTGACAGTTTCACAAATAATACCTAACCTTACAGTATGAAACACATTCTGATATTTTTATTCTATTACATTTTTCTAAAAATTATGGTCATAAATTAGATAATTTCATGATCCTGCATTTGAAGATCATTACTCAAGGGTAAATAAGGAGTAAAAATTTGTAAGAGGGTTTCAGATTAATCTCTTGAGCAAGCAAGAACCTTGAAGAGCTGTGTATTTTTTTAAAATCACATAAAATCTGTACAGTTAGATCATTCTGGCTGGTAACTAGGAGACTGCCTTCCTTACTGCTTTTTCACTTCCCATAGCGCATGACAGATGGTAGGTATTCAGAAGTTACATGATGGATTAACATGAAGAAGTAAAATAATTTTAGAGACAGCTATGTAGTGAAAGTGTTCACTTGTATTTCTGGGGATGAAATGAGGCTGGTCTAGAATTGCATGGAGGAACAGAGGGGAAATCAATGGTGTAAGTGTGGGTTTGGGGTAGATTTCTTTTTTGAAACCATTTTTTAATGCCTTAATACTTTCCCGCTGCATCTGTGTATGTATTCCTTCACAGATGCGTTATAAAAGGTGTGGTTGGTTGCTTATCATTGTGACAACTGAAGGAGACGGCACAGGTGCACCTCCACACCAGAAGCCATGCTATTACCACTCAGATTGATAGCAGGTCCCTGCTAGTCTCTAGTCCACTGTTCCACTGCAGGTCTTCAAGCTCCCTTCTCTCTTTAGGGACGAGGATTTCAGATAGATGGAGACCCTCTTGCCCAGACTCAGAATGGAGTGGATGGGGTTTCTTCCTGGCAGGCTAGCCCATAGTGTTGAATGGCCAGGTTTCCTTTAAGACACAGCTGGTTTCTTGTGCAGACCAGTGTCCCATGACTTATGATACTGTTTTTGGCCTAGTTGAAAATCGTGGTGATAGTGTGTGACTTCCACACATAGACCAGAAACGCTCCTAGGCATAGAGGTACAACTGTGTTCACTTTTTTTCTTTTTTTTTTTTTTACCATTATTGCTCCCCCTCCCTCCACTCAAGAACCTTCTGATACATTTTTTTCCCTAATTACCTCCCATTAAAATAAAATTTTAATATCATAGATAATGCTCTGGATTTGTTTATGCCCTGTAGCGCTTTAAAGCATCACAAGCCTTCTGTAAGTTTTATTTCCTAAGTTCAGTTTTTACCTCTTTGAGGGTAAGAGCTCTCCCTTCCAGAATGCATGAAATAGAAGAAACTAGCCTAGAAAGATTTCCTGACACTTCCCCAGAGTGGAACAAGCAAGCTTTGGATGATGGCTCCAGACACTGGGAGGAGGAAGAGGCACTGTGGACACTGGAGCTAGCACAGGACTCGGTTAATGGTCACCAACCCAGTCTCTCTGCAGGCCTCCATTTCTCCTTCTTCAAGATAAAAAATACTGAAATAAGTCCTGCCCATGCAGGGCCTGTCCTTGTCCCTCCAAATCTCAACCAAGTGGATACATCAGCATTTTAGGAATCAGGACAGATTGAGTGGGAGGAAGGGAATCTTTTATTTGTGTTGTTGCCAAACCTAGTTATGAGCTTTGGTATAAAATTTCAGCCAGATTGATTGTTTTTAGTGTAATAAGGCAATAAAAGGATCATTCTTCAGGGTCAGTCATTTATCATTTGGAATTGCTATTTACATTAAGCTGAAAAAAATGAATTTACACATAGAAATTAAATGAGGTTAGTTTCTCTGCATCAAACACTTTTTGTGGACCGTGGTTAGTACACGAAAGGTATCATGATGTAACCATTCTCTAGATTTTCCCTGAAGCTTATTCTGTCAGGGGACTTAGCAAGTATAGTTAAAGTAAGTGTTGTTAACACAAAGCTGTGTTAACACAGCCCTGTGTGGGGAAGGGTCCAAGAAGCAGCAGCGTCTCTGTCACTTCTCGCAGCCTTTTCTGTCTTGGTCTTCTATAAATATTACACAGACTTTAGTTTTATGCCAATTATCTAGCAACCTTGATTATCAATCTAGTCTCAACTCTGTTTCTGACAAACGGAAAAACCAACTTAAGCAGAAAACAAATAAAAAACTATGTGTTTGTGGTGGGTGTTCATTGACCTCCTAAATGATAGTGCTGACTTCAGGTGTCTGGTCTCAGGGTTACACAGGATATCACCAGGAGGAGATCTCTCTCAACCCCACTTTCTCTAGTGGCTGAAGGCCCACATTGTCCCAGCAAGGGACTCCAGCAGAGCAAGAGCTTTCTTGGCTGGTCAGCCCAGGTCCAAAGACTGAATCTCATGGCCTTGAGTGGTGTTCCTGCCCCTGCTTAAGTCTCTATGGCAGATGTTATTTGGCTTGGCCACTCCTGGCCCATGTGTCTATCCCTCTGGCCAGGTTTAGGAACTGGCGAAAGTACCTGCAGGTACTTTGCAGGCCTATTATGGGCAAGCAGAAGTGCCTCTCAGAGGAATCAATAAGATGCAGCCTGAAGAGAGTTCAGCACATGCCTGGCAGATGGTTCCCACACCCCACCAGCCCCTGTTCTCTTCCTTGTGCAGGGCTGTGCTCTGCTCTCACTGCCCACATCAGCTACGGCTGTGTCCTGAACACCATAAACAGCCTGTGGTAGGGGATTCTTGTCTTCTGGAAATGAGAGATTCCTCCCTCTGTCATTCCCTCAGCCACAAAGGGAGGGAGTGCAGCTTCTTTGGTCCTCCAGGGAAACAGAAGGTTGCCAGATAGTCTGAAGGCTTTCTGATAACTCATCCCTGAGGGGTGCATGGCTGCCCCATCACACAGGTTCTTCCTGTTTATGGGGGGAATGAGCTCAGCTGCTAACATTCTCTGGTCATAGACCTGTTGATCTGTGTTCTTGCCCCAGACTGTTCACAAAAGCTGTCAAAACACAGATGGGAGCAGCTGCTGATGGCCCTGGGGAGTTTTCTTTTCATTTGTTTCTACACTAGCTCTCCCAAGGAATGTGCTCTATGAACAGCACAGTTGATTGCACACATTTTTCCTGTTCAAATCTCTGATCTGAGTAGGAGTGTTGAGTTGGGCAGGTGTCCATGCAGTCGGTCTAGGTGCTGGTGTAGCTTGAGGCTACCCAGGGCCTACCCCTCCTCAGCAGCCAGGCTTCCCATACCTATTCTGTCCTCTCCCACACTTTCCCCCTCCCCTCCTTCCCATTCATTTCTATCTGCCTTCACACCCCACTCTCAGTTATTGAAAATTGACTCACAGGCCTTGAATCAGTGTCACTAGTGTTCTTGACTTAAGACCATCTCCCGGAACTACATAAAGACCAGTGATTACATTTAGAATTACATATGAAGGTAGAAAGGAGAGGGTAAAAAGAGTTCAGGGACCATATGGGAAATGGGTAAATGGTACAGCTATTTTTAAAATGTTTTGAACTATGAAGGAAATGGTTTCCCATATCACCTCAGATGTCAAATACAAGGCTTTTCTTTTTCTTTTTTTCTTTTTCTTTCTTTGTTTTCTTTTTTGAGATAAGGTCTCAATAATTGACCCAAGCTGGCCTTGACCTTGTTCATAATCCTCCCTCCACCTCTGGAGTGCTGGGATTATAACCATGTGCCAGGATTCAGTACATCTGTACAGTGATCTTTGCTGCTGCTAAGTGGCTGTCAGATTCTCTTAAGGTGAAGTAATTTGACATTTTACCTTGGTTCCCCTATCTGGGGGCTGACAGTGTAGAATGACACTTTGTAAATGTACCCTGGCCTGCCTTGGCCAAACCTCCAGGAACAGGAGCCTCAGCCAGAACCAGTGGTTTCCACTGCATTTCTTTGGCTTTATGCAAATTCCATCTTTTTGGTTTATTGGTTGTTTGTTTTGTTTTTGTTTTCCCTCTTTTGTTTTTAACCTTGTACATATTCCTTTTACTTTCAGTCTCCTCCAGGCCAAGTGACTGAGGCTGTGAAGGTAGCCATTGACCTTGGGTACCGCCACATTGACTGCGCCCATGTGTACCAGAATGAGAAGGAGGTGGGGGTGGCTCTCCAAGAGAAGATCAAGGAACAGGTTGTGAAGCGCCCGGACCTCTTCATTGTCAGCAAGGTACCGCTGTGCAGGAAGCCTATGGGTTCCCATTGATACTTACCCATTAGTGGCTCAGCTTAGGAGCTAAGGCCATACTCTTACTTCAAAGGCAGTTATTACTGAGCAGGCAGTTCTTCCAGGTCATGTTACTCCAGGCCACAGAGGGCTCCATAGATTACTCACATATGTCTCTAAATTGGACAGTTATCTAGGGGGCTAGATCCATGGGTTAGAGACCTGTGCTGATGAGGCTGAGCTTGTTGGCTTTCCCTTTTCAAGGAATCACTTCATAGGCAAAACTTGGCTCCCATCTGGAGACTGGATCTCCACTGCTGGCCACTGTTTTTGAGGTGGAGGTTGTTGGTACACAAAGGGCCAACTACCAATGTTGGTGCACTGTTTCAGTGCACTGTGGTCTACTGGGCCCTAAAGGGACTTGATTTTTATTGTTTGTATTTTTATGGGTGAGTTGGAGGGTGCACTGGCTCTTCATAGACCAACCAGGAAGGAAAATGGCCCTGAAACTTATGTTTAGTTTGTGGGACTGACTGGCTGTCCTGTCCCTTCTGTAGTGTGCCTTCTGCTTGGTCCTTGTGAGCTTTCCTTGATTTGACCATACTACCTTCTTTGGGAAAGTTGGGCTCTACAGTGTGTACCAGAAACTCACTTCACCACTCAAAGCATTGCAGTGAAACTGCTGGGTGGTGGGAAGAGGAGCATGAGTCCTCTGTATTGGAGTTGTCTAGCTCCCAGGAGGAATCAGCCTTTGGAAGGCAGTGATAAGATGTGCTCTTGCTGGCTACAGCTTTGGTGCACGTTCCATGACAAAAGCCTGGTGAAGGGAGCCTGCCAGAAGACACTCAGTGACCTGAAGCTGGACTACTTGGACCTCTACCTCATTCACTGGCCAACAGGCTTCAAGGTATGGGAAACCAGGATCAGACCATGTCCCTGTGGCTCAGATGCAACCCATCCTGTTTTGACCTCTCTTACTAGAAAATTGTGTGTGGTAGACTTTCCCTGCCTCTGTGGTTCAGGGTGTGGCCTGTGGACCAACAGCAATGGCATCACCCTAAGTGTTACAATCCTGTCTGATTATGAACCATAGGTGACTCACATGTATATGTCGGAGTTTGGGGAGCACTGTTCTTTTCACTTGGTCATTGTATAATTTAAAACTGGCAATGGACATAGCTGCTGTTTTCCCTACTGCACACAGCCAAAGGTGCAATAAGCCCCCACCCTGCCTCCAGGCACATGTACACATACACACATTCCTCCCATATGTGCATGTTTGTACCTACATTCCACACACATACCCTATCTTGAATAATTATAAGTTCACAGCCTGGTTCTTTCACAAACAGAACTCAAGGTCATTATATCTTTTCTTCCTAGCCCTGGCTCAGTTTTCCACTTGTGAGCCAGGTTGAAAGAATTTGGATTTTATCCTATAGCTGCACTGTTTCAGTGCACTGTGGTCCACTGGGGACTTGATTTTTATTGGTTTTTTTTTTTTTTTTTAATAAGCTGGCAAGAGTGATTATGGTCACAGTCCTATAGGCTGGTGAGCCAGCCAAGACTTGAGTCCCTCCCCTGTCCACACACTCTGGTCCATGGATGGATTAGTCTCATTGACTGGGGCCGTACAGATCTCCATCTGATGGTCTCTTAGCTCCAGCCTTCTTACAGAGGAAGTACCTTGGGCCATAAGGGATCATCTGCTGTTTCCTTTTCATATTGGCTGATAGATGTGCACATTGTTGTCTCCCTTAGTCTTAAGTCAACAATAGTGGATGAGGAGAATTTTTTCTAGACAGAGCTCCCTAACAGGTCAGTGAAGGGCTGTTTTTGACTGTTTTGTATCTGTTTTCAATTGTAATGACAGCATGGGAATGAATTTTTCCCCTTGGATGCATCAGGCAACGTGATTCCCAGCGACACGGATTTTATGGACACCTGGGCGGTAAGATGGTTTTTGCTGGGACCTGGTCCTTCATTGCTGCTTTCCTGTTCTTGCAAGTGAGCAGGGTGTGAGTGACTTGCTCTGCCACCTCTTACGTTGCATTTGTTATTCTGCCACTCTGTTTGCCTGTGTTGTCTAATGAAAGCCAGTCTGACTTTTGTCTTCTTGACTCTTGGCTTCTGAAAGGTCTAATGAGCTGGCATTGAAGAGTGAGGACAGGACCTGTTAAACTGCCTAGTTAGAGATTTCTGATCCTTGCCCTTCAGCACCAAAGAGACCCTCTTTTCTCTTTAGGCCATGGAAGAGCTGGTAGATGAAGGGCTGGTGAAAACAATTGGCATTTCCAACTTTAACCACCTCCAGATTGAGAAACTCTTAAACAAACCTGGCTTAAAATACAAGCCAGCAGTTAACCAGGTAACCTACCATGGGGAAGCTAGTGTTGATGGCATGCTGTTTTGCTGTCTGGTCCTGGCTTTATTTCTGATCCGCATCTCCCAGACAGTGGCCAGGAGGTAGCTTCTGGGTGTGGGCAGTGTACTGAGTTCTGATTTATCCTGATGGGGTTACATCTGGGAGTGGAAGTTTGCACATCTAGGGGAGAGGGTTTAAGCCAGGCTGGTACTGAGGTGGGGTCTGACAGGAGCAGTATGCAGCTAGCAAGATCCTCCAGCCTGTGCCAGTTGATAAATGGCTACGGCCAGAGAAAGACTTTAGGGCCTATGGCCATGGAACATCAATAATGAGATTATTGTTCTTAATGTCAAGGACATTAGCTGGGAAATGTAGAAAGTTGTTATGACTTACCTAGGAAATTGACATTTCCTGGGGAGAGAAGGGACTTAGCAGAAGAAATCTTGCCTGTGTCACATCAACTTGTGTCACAGGGCCACTGTCATTCCTCATGTGCATTTGCAGATCGAGTGCCACCCGTACCTAACTCAGGAGAAGTTGATCCAGTACTGCCATTCCAAAGGCATTGTGGTGACTGCCTACAGTCCCCTCGGCTCTCCTGACAGGCCCTGGTAAGCTTTTCATGGGTCACATTCTCTTTCACTTGGAGAATATAAGAAACCAACTAAAGAAAAATTGAACATCAGAGAAAATGCTTCTGGGCTGATCTGCGGACCTTCCCCCAAGGCCTTTTGGATTTCCAGGGAAGTCTACCTTTCTAGCAGCCGGATGCCTGCTCTAGGCCCAGAGCAGATCTTGATCCAGCTTCAGACCTGGAGACTGGCTGGTTGTCCAGGGGTGGATGGAAGGGTTAGGGTCAGGGTCACCAGCTGCCTTGAATGGTAATGATTATGATTGTTGACCTGAACCATCTTTTTGTTCTAGGGCCCAACCTGAGGACCCTTCCATCCTGGAGGATCCCAATATCATGGCCATTGCAGCCAAGTACAATAAAACTACAGCCCAGGTACAACTGTTTCCAGGCACTTGTGCAGAACTCTGCACAATTGGTGGTCCCTACTAACCAGGAGAGACAGGAGAGTGAGGCATTAAGCCCTCCCTAGAAGTGTGGTTTGGGGGTCCTGCAAAGTGTAGTAAAAAGGGCACAGATTGGTACTTGCCATGTGGTCTTAGAAAATTGTCTCTGTCCCTGCTGCCTATATAGACTGCCCAAGGATCAGCATTTCAGTTTATGTGAAAGCTAATCTCTGCACGGAAGGAAATACTCTTAATTATCACCTGCATAGGAAATGTGCTCTCCCTCCCACAGGGTAATGTGAGTTCATAGGCATTGGCTAGCCTCAGTGTGACCTCCAGATGCACATAGAGACGCTAACAAAGAGCAGGACTCTGCAGTCAGATCTTGAGTGAGTGTAACCCCTGACTGTCAGTGGGTTTGACCTGGATGTGTCTCAGGCTCTCTTTACTCAGCTGTGCAGTTCTAGCATGTTTGTCTCTTTCCCATTGTGTGTATGATTAAGTGAGATGATAAATATGAGTATCTGGCACATGTACATACTTGGCACCTCTCTGGACCTGCAGGTGCTGATTCGGTTCCCTATACAGAGGAATTTGGTGGTAATCCCCAAGTCTGTGACACCAGCACGCATTGCTGAAAACTTTCAGGTAAGATCTCTATTGGTTGACCTGGTTTTCCTCAGTGGAGTTAGGGCAGGAGAGTCTCTTTGCATGGCCTCGCATCCTGTTCTGTATAGTCTTGTCTGTGGGACCTCCCACCTTCCTGCCACCGTCCTATCCTCAAGGCCAGCAAGCTGACCTCAGGAAGTTACCAGTGGCTCACACTGGTAACCCTAGCTACTTGGGAGGCTGAGATCGGGATGGTCACAGTTCAAGGCCAGCCCAGGCAAATAGTTCGAAAGACCGCATCTCCAAAATAACCAGAGAAAAATGGACTGAAGGTGTGGCTCAAGCAGTAGAGAGAGAGCACCTGCTTTGCAAGTGTGAAGCCCTAAGTTTAAACCCCAGTCCCACCAAAAAATAAAAATAAAAAGTTAGAGTAAGCAAACCATGGATCTAGAGAGTGACTCCCTGTTGGAAGAGTTCCTGTGCTGGGGTTGAGCCTTGTGCCTTAGGCACCATGCCATACCTCCACACACACCTTTGTCCAAGGCTCCTCAAAGACACCAAGTGTTTGCACTGAGAAAATGTCACTCTTGAGCAAGCTGCCTAGGTTGGCGCTGGATCCCCATTAGTTCCCAGCTGTATGACCTTGGACAAGTCACTTAACTGTACCCAAGTACCTATTTTGAGGGTCATTGAGATTAAATTAGATGATACACAGAGCACTTCACATAGTAAGTCCTCAGGAAATATTACTGTGTTGGCGATAAGTCACGGATTGCAAAGGCCCTCCCAGGCCACTTGCTGACTCACTAGCCCTGCAAGGAGCCTGTGTGATCTTGGGCTTGTATCAGAGTGCCAGGAGTGTGAGCATTCACAGTGCCCTGGAGAACAGCTCAGGCTGCCTGGTATCCCCTCCCTCCCACCATCTCTTGTGCCGCTAAAAAGACCAGCTGGGAAAGAGCTGCCTGTTGGCCTGTGGCCTGTGAGCCTCTCTCCTCTCCGAGCAAAGCAGCTCTGCCTGAGGTGTTCCCATGCTCACCTGAGGGCTGGTTCAGAACATGACACATCCATGGGCTCTTAAACAGCCAGCCCCATGTGGTTCCCTGCAGGCAGCAGTTTGGGTTCAGGTTGGCCCTTGGCTCCACAGCAAGCAGCTAATTTTGCCTGGTTCCACTAGCCAGACCTGTGGCACAACCATGCCACTCATCAGGTAAGGAGGGATGGGAGTTTATGTAGTAGGAGAGACAGTGCTCTTATCTGTAGATGTTTTAATATTCAATACCAAATTGGAAAGGCATATTCTACCTTAATTTCATATTTCTTTTTTTTTTTTTCTCTTACTGGGAATTGAACCCAGATTCATACATGCTAGGCAAGCACTGTACCACTTGAGCCATGCCCCTAGCCCTTTGGTTTTTATCTTGTTTCTGAGATGAAGTCTCATTAACTTTGCCCCATCTGGCTTTGAACTTGGGATCCTCCTGCCTCCACCTCTTGAGTAATTCAGTAGTGTGAAAAGACATATGCTACCATACCCAGCTTCATATTTCATTTTCTTAAGTTACTGGAAAAGAAAAAAGTGTAAATGACTAATCTCAAGATAGTAACCTTGTTACTTTATTTTTGCATCTTACTGTGTATTCTTTACATATTTTCCCATGGTTATAATCAGAGTATGTAGCAAACTCTTGCTTTGCACATTCTGTGATCATCAGAAGCCAAAGTACTCCCTTGGCTTTGGTTCTGTACCCCAGCCTCTTTGGTTCCCACCCAGTGCTGCTGCTGGTTGACTGGCCTGACCACCCACCTGTGTGTCATTTGGCCTCCATGCAAACTGAATGCTTCCATGTATTCTCTTGCCTTTGGGGAAGTGAGTCTCTCCTTCAAATATACCTTTCTTACTCTCTCAAAAACTGTATGTGTCGTCTTAGGCCAACTCTGGCCATGTACTTCAGTGCCCTGACCAGATCAATTGCTGATGTCCCAGGATCCTCTGAGGGCTTTGTGTCACATCTAATACAGTGTATCACAGTTATTGAATTAATTATTCCTTATATTCTCGCTATTGAGGTACCTTTTATCCTCTTGTTTCATGGTGAATGGAGCCAAAGGTACATCCTAGCCATTACTATGTTTTCTGGGTGCTTATTGAAATAAAACTGCTCAGTCGTATGAAAAGAAATGAAATGCAATGAAAACTGTTATTTTGCTTGGAAGTTCTGGAAGGGAAGGACTGTTTCATACCTAATTAAAACATGTTTTTGTTGAAAAGTAACATAAGAACTATTGTCAAAGCTCTGTTTACCTTACTGCCCACCCCACTCAAGGTGGTGGAAACCATCTTATGTAGGTCCTACACTATTCTGTCTGATTTTTATTACAGAGCTTATTGTGTTTTTGTTTGCTTGTTTAAGGTCTTTGACTTTGCACTGAGCAGTGAGGACATGGCCACTTTACTCAGCTATAACAGGAACTGGAGGGTCTGTGCCTTGCTGAGGTGAGTCCTTATGTGATGACCAACTTCCAGATCACAAACTGCTGTGGAACAAGAGCAATCCCTGCAGACTTTAGTGGCCACATCCTCTTTTCATAGCCCTTCTTGCTCTTGCACACTACTTTGTTTCCTCGTTCCCATGCAGCAGGAACATTCACAACCTGTACAGTTGAACTGCACAGTCAAAGAGGAAACGGCCACCAAGAGATCTGCTCTGATAGCTCCTTCTCCCTCCCAGGAGCACTGTCAGCCCAACATGAAAGAACCAGAATATTTGGGCATTTAATTTTCAAATCTTACTGACTTTTCTGATCCCAGGTGATCCCAGGTGGCCCTGCCCCATCTTTCTGGAATAATTTGCATGTTATCTGTCTTAGTGAGCCTAATACAGAGGATTAGTAGGAAGACCCTGTCACTGGGCTCAGGACAGTCCAATCTCTGACCCTAAAAGGCCTCGTTCTGAAAATGCCACTCAGAGTCACCAAGGGCCCCTTGAGGTGCATCTTCCTTGGTTTTTTACATTCTTCTGAAGTGGGGTTTAAACTGTATGGGAGCTCAATGATAATGTATTTTGCTCTTTTGAGGGAGGGTGGTTGTTATTCGGACTTTCCTTCTAGTTCAATGACAAAGATTAAAATCCTACTTTGAAGAAGCAACTTTATGTCATTTAGCAATGGAGATGAGGCCTCTGCCCTCTCAGTGCTTTTATTCCTGTCTACTCTGTCTCCTTTGGCACTTCCTCCCCTAAGCAGAATTTGGACATCCCCAACTCAGTGTAGGTTGTCGTCTTTCTCTTCTCAGTCTCTGTGCTCTCTGCAGCTCAAGAGTTCTCACTGTGGTGGCTGTGGCCTCTGTCTCAGGCAGATGGCTACCATGTCTATTTCTCACACTAAATGCCTGTGATTCAGGCACAATCATGTCTGGAATGTGTTGCTTCTAAATAGACCACAAACAGAGCAGCCCAGGAGTCCTGTTTAAGTTAATGGCATTCAGCCTTTCAACATGAAAATCATTTTTGGATCTACTGGGCAAAAGAGAAATGAATCAATGGCCAGTTGTATCCATTCTTCTTTTAGAATCTGTCAGGTTCACTCAGTCTTCCCTTTCCCCTACCACTGCTGCCTTAGTGCCTCAGACTCCCAGAGCTGGCAAACCATGGTGCTTTTCTAATTGGTCCCTTCATATCTAGATGCACCCCTCCCACCCTACAGGGCTAGTCTAGAAACAGCTGCCTGATTGTCCTGTGCGCTGTGAATGCTGAGTGGACATGAATAAGAGTTGGCACAGGGAGGAAAAGGCTGGCTCTAACATTCTTAGGTCTCCTGGGAAGTGTTTCCTAACTAGCCACTTGCCAACACATACTGCTGCCCTGAGCTGCCTGCTGGTGACATCATATTTCTGAGGTATGCAAAGAAAGGCAGGCCAGGGGGCAGTTTATGTATGGTTTTGAGTATCACAATAAGAGGCCTCCAGTTCCCCCTGTGCCTCCACACCCTTTCTGGCCAGTCTTTGCAGTATTCTTGCCGTTAGCTCCACCAAAAAGACTATGTGCCTTGGCCACATGCCCATGCCCTCCCCCATGTTTCCTGCAGCAGATTCTCAGCCACTGCGCTGGGCTCACTTCACTCCCACTCACACCAGAGATGCCCTTGCCTTGTGTCCTAGGAGCAACTACTGTTTCACTTACTTTGTGATTCAGACTCATACAGCCGCTAACGCTTCTGTTGTGTCATTAATTCTTTGCTCTTTTTATCCTTTTGTTGTTTGGGATACTAAGATAATTTATGGTCTTGCCAATGACTGAGTCATAGGAGGCAGGAGTTAGTCCTACCATCCTGTAGGTAGACTCAGTGCTGGGCACACAGGGCTGTTGTCTGTGTGCTGCTTGATGACAGTCCATGGCAGAGGAGACTGGAGGCTGAGCCACTGCCCCCATCTGCAGATATGTGATTTGAAGGCTCAAAACTGGCTCTCTGCCTGTGAGACACCCATTTCTCTGTTTTGGTAATTTGTTACAGTCAAAATCTCCTTGAAAAGCCAATTGTTCTCTTCTTTCCTAACAGCTGTGCTGCCCACAAGGATTATCCCTTCAATGCAGAGTTTTGAAACTATGGATGATTGCTCTTCCCCAGGTGACTTGGACCTGTTCTTCCTGCATTGTTTGTCCCTACAAGTATGTGTGACCCGTAGCCCTTGGCAGGGGACAACAAACTGCAAACTAGGTACCCAGGATTTGTTAGCTTGATATAGAGTTTGAATAACAGTATCAGTAGACTAGGTGTCTCTTCCAGTCTTTTCTTTGCCTTTCTTCTGGCCCAGCTAGAGGAAGAATGACCTGAGTACCCTTTCTAACCAAAGAGAAGCAAAATCTACAAAGTCAAAATAGTGCCACTAACAGTTGTGTTTTGACTGCTTTGAACTGTAATCCTTTCAGCCAGACTTCTCTTTGTCTAAAATAAAAAGTGCTTTTGTGAACTTCAGGTTGCTCCTTTTGTTCTTGTTTTTTGAAACAGTTAATCACCTATCACACTACCAGCCTTCATTTTCTAGATGGTCATAGAGCAGGCCAGTGAACTGCAACAAGAATGGGAACTTCACTTCTTTTCTTTTATTGGGGACCCTTCACCCAGTGATTTACCTCTTAACTTATGGCAATAGGCCACATCCTGGCTGCACATTGGTGTCACCTGGGAAAATTTAAAACACTAGGGATGCCTGGACCTTGCCCCTGAAAACTGAACAGATCCCGCTGGATTGTATCCAAGGACTTTGAGAGTTAATTCGTTCTTCAGGTTGCTCTCAATATGCAGCCAGGGTTGCACACAACTTTAAGGCCCAGCTAGGACATAAGCTTCCTTTGCTTTCACAAGTTACTTAGATATTTACTAAGCAGCTATATATAAGAAAAACTGCTTTCATGAGGCCTATTGTCTAGGCGAGAGGGAAGAAGACCATAAATAATTGACATCCAGTTCGATATAGAGGAATGCTCCAAATAAGGTTACCAGAGGAGAGGCTTTGAGACCCTAATGCAATTGCTTATTTCTATTACTAGTTTTTCCTCATCCACAATTAAATTGAAAAGTATCAGGAAAGGGATGAGATAGACAATATTAATCTGAAACTTCATGAAGTCAGATTGCTTTATAACTGGCTTTGCTTATTGAATGATTATCCATCTGATCAAGTCATATTAACTGCTTTGTAGGTTGTTGTTTATAATAGGTCCTCAAAGGTATAGTTGGGCAGCAGTGGTTGCTGGGCCTCACCCACCTGAGAATGAAGGAGAGCCCTAATCCCCCAAGCAGCTGGAGTCAAGCTATGTGAAAGAACCCCACAGCACAAGCTGCCCCTCCCTATCTGGCAGCCTTTGACCTGAGCCCCTGTCCTGACATCTGCCCAGCACAACAGCCCAGTTTCCCCTTCTGGAGTAATCAGGTCTCTTATCCCAAGTTAAACTACAAACTGTTAGTCATCTCTTAGTAACAAATGTCAAATCAGCTGACTAATTCCCTGTCCCATTCCCCCAGGTAGTTAAGAGTTAGCCTAAAGATACTTTGGAGAAACTTATAGGCAATCACCCGGAAGAGGGTTTTTTAGTTGTTTTTGTTTTTCTGTCAGTTCTAGAATAGAACTCGGGTCCTCATGAATGCTTCAAAAGCCCTCAAACCACTGAGCTACACCACCAGCACTGGAAAGAGCTTCTAAATCTTCTAAATCTAGAACCTGACTTCTAGATTCCCTGCTTCAGATAGACAGCAAGAAAATGCAGAAGTCTGTGCTCAACCCAAAAGCATAGACAAGATAAGAGGCAAGTTTGCACAAACTTCCCTTGGAAGGAGCATTGCCTGTAATGGGGCAAAGAATGGGGAGAACACATCTGGCTTTGCAATTTGAAGCTTGAGTAGCAGTTGTTTTGGTGCTCAATGATGGGCTCAGGTGGGGGCCCCCACTGCTTGTTGATGCTGGAAAATGGGGTGTAGAGATGAGCTGTGGAGCTCAGTGGGACCAACTTCAACACACTAACAATTCACTCAAGGAGCAGATAAAAGGTCAAGATGGTGCTGCTTTGCTAATGAAGACTACTTTCCCTCCTTTTGAGGAATTAAAATCTCCACACCTTTCTGGTCATCATGCTGCAGCCAGCCTCAGGACTTCAGTGGACTCACCGAATCCTCCCAGGGAACAAGTCAGTGGAACATACAGGATGACAGTGCTGCCCCCATCTTTGAGGGGTTTTGCCCATGTACAGCTGGGGACACAATCTGCATTTATGAAACAGGCTTTCAGCCAAACAATGTTCCTACCAGAGTACACAATAGTTAATAAGATAATGAGGCCAACAAAAAGTAGACCAAGGAGGACCTGCACTGGAAAATCTCTTCAAAAGCACAGTTGCTCAGCGCTTTATCCTTCATGTTGATACAATTCTGCGATGTCATGTTCTCTAAGGGAGTGGCTGATGTGGACCTGTCATGGTGCTTATTAGGGGCCCCTGAGAAGGTGCTTGGCCAGGAGAAGCACAGTCAGTGTTAAGTCTAAACCAGGAAGGTCTTCCTACAGGGAACACAGGTGGATAGGATCCACCCCTAGTTTATACCAACTTGCCCTTTGCATTTGCTAGCAGTTCTGAGGTGAGACCTTGCCCTTCAGGGTGCAAGCAGAAACTTTCCCTTCCCACCCAAGGGTTTGCCTAGCAAACAGTGGAAGCAGGCAATGACCAGGTTCTCTTCCAGCCCGACATCCCCCTGTAGCCATGGTTTTCCTCACTGTTCTGAATACTATCTATAATAGCACCTGGGTCCAGAATAAACTCTCAGTACTGTCAGTAATAAATGAGCTTTTCCTCTAGTGACTATTAAAACCTCCTAGTGTGAAATCTATATTTCAGACCCAAAAAGTAGCTATTCAGTTCTGCCTATGTAAGTTATCAAATGGTGCCCAAGGATTCTGTAACTAGCCTTTCAACTGAAACTACTTCTGATTTGTGACTTGTGAATCATTTAACCTATGATTAAATGATAGGTTAAATGCCTTTGTTTCCTCAATCTATAGAATACTTACCTTATAGTACTCATGAGGACTAAATGAAATAATGAAAATAAAACCCCCATCCCAAGGCCTTGTACACAGTACTCATTATTTCTGATATGGTTAATATAGTCATTATAACCATGTGCTGGCAACAGAAAGAAACCTACCCATCCCCTCACAGCTTACAGGTTGTGTTCAGAAAGTGGAGCTGTGCCCAGAGAGGGATTCCTACCTCTGCAGATATAGCACTTTGCCCATAGTCTGAGTCTGCCTGACCTCACAAACAGGAAGGGCAGGCCCTGATAAACTTATCAGTGAACAGCATGCTATAAGCTTTTGTTTCCCATCTCCAGGACTGCATTTCATGGCACAAGGAGTGAGCCCTGAAGAAAATGCTGCCCATGTATGTATAAAAATAATTTGTTTCATACAAATAGGTAGAATTATAGAATGTGAGGAACAGAAAGGACTATAAAGATCATTTAGTCCAATATTTTTCTAAGCTAGTATTTTAAAATTTATTTTTGGCAACAGAGTCCATTCTTTAAAAGAAATTTGTATAAACCCTTAATATATAAGCCTCAGATAAAGGCAGAGCAGCTATGATTAAAGTAGGGGGGGAATCTGAGCACCATGCCAGCAGCACTCCTTCCCACATCCTCCCCTGACAACGAGTGCCTTGGAACACAGTTTCAAAACTTTGGAGGGCAACCCTTTGGTTTTCCATTTGTTTCCAACATTTATTTCACACAGTTGCTAGTGTTCGGGAAGTCTGTATGACTTAACTGAGCGGCTCTCTTATCAGGGTCCCTCAAGGGACTGTTCGACATCTGGAGCTGCTGTTGTCCATAGGTTTGACTGGGGCAGAAGATCTGACTCCAAGATGGTGCACTTAATCACAGGCAATTCAATTTTAGGCTTAGGAAGGAAGCCTCACTCAGCTCTTCATTCTGTGTGCCTTTTCCCAAAGCTATCAGAGTGTTCCTGACATGATCCCTGGCTCTCCCTGAGTGAGTGATCCCAGACAGCACAAAAGAAGCCACAAGATCTCATTATCTAAGCTTGGAGGTCACACAGTGCCATTTCCATGATATAACAAGCCAGCCCTATTTACTGGGGACACCTGGAGGCTGACTACTACAGTTTGTAGCTTGAGAAGTACCATTTGTTTAGAAAGTATTTCAGAAGCAACAAGTCACATGAGCATGATATCTCAAAATACTATATGTTCAGATTAGGAACAACCAAAACAGAATCAGAGAGAAGTGGCTGACCAAAGCTCACAGCAATTTGATGGTAGAAATAGGCCTAGAATTCAGGCCTCTGGATTCTTTTCCATTACATTATGTCATAATATTATTATGGCATTCCATTAAAATAAAAAGTATGCTAACTTACACACGTATGAAACTTCATTGCAAGATGAGCAAGCTTAGCATCAACAGTGATGATCAAGGATGAACTCTTGATCTGATGTTATGAGATTAGCATTCAACTGCTGATCATCCTCCCCCAAACCAAAACTCTAGTCTAATCATGAAAAAAATATCAAATAGCAATAGAGTAATACTCCGCAAAATATATAGCCGGACCTCCTTAAAACTGGTTGTCAAAAACAAGGAAAATCTGAGAACTGTCATAACCAAGGGTAGCCCAAGAAGACATGATGACTCAGTGTGAGGTAGATGAGAGCCTGGAGTGGGGAAAATCAAGTTAAAACTAAGGCAAACTGAATAAAGCATGGACTTGAGTTCATCAATATTGGTTCACTAGATATGCCAAATGTACCATAGTAGTGTCAGATGTTAATAACAGAAAAGTGGGTGTGAGGCATATGGGAAGTCTCTATATAATTTTTCTGTAAATTCTAAAATAAGAGAAAACTTTATAAAACAGTCATTCTGAGTGAAAGATACTAGATGAATACTATATTATTCATCTACTTTAAGGATGCCTATACCTTTCATAGATTAGGCAGACAAAATTCCTACCTCAGGTACAAAACTGAAGGAAATCATTACTAATCTTATTCTTGAAGAACAAATATTTCTAAGCATATGTGGGGTATTTGTGAAAATTCATGATATGCTAGGCCACAATGCTGACCTCAACAAATTTCAACAAATTGATATCATATGGATCATATGCTCTGGTCACAGTTACACAAAACTGTAAAACAATAACAAAGCCAGGCACCAGTGGCTTACTCCTTAATCCTCACTCCTCAGGAGGCTGAGATGGGGCAGGGGAGGGAAAAGGATCGAAGTTCCAGGCCAGGCCCAGCATCTCAACCAGAGCGGGGGTGGGAATGGGCATGGTGGCCTGCACCTGTCATTCCAGCTATAGCAGGAAGCATAAAATAGAATTGAGGTCCAGGCCAGCCTGGCAAAAAGCAAGACCTTACTTCCAAAATGACCAGAGGAAAAAGGGCTGGAG